ATGTATATCGACCTACTGAATCTGAAACTGACGTCTGTTTGTCTCATACACCTGCTAAATTTCGATTAAATTACGAAAACCCAAAAAATTGGCAAAAAATGCTGTACGAGTCAAAGTCAGATTTATCGGGTCAAAATACATGTGGGTTAAATACATAGACCATTTAAATTTGATGTGCCACAAAACTGCGTGTTAAAATTTGTCGAAGTTTTATACGGGTCTACAAAGTTTGAAAACTTGATTTACAAACATATTTTTTTACTTTCAATGTAAGTCATATTGTTACATAAAACAAAAAAAATTTTAAATAAAGAGAAATGGCAATAAAATGTCTCTCAGCACCGTATAATGAAATTGTTTATAGAGGACCCGAGTCTTTGTACGAAACTCGTACGAATATCAGTTCTACTTATAAATTTACCTTGAAACCATAATTAATAATGCAACATTTTTTTATATTCTGAAAAAATAGCATCAAATGTTAACTCTTCTTTCAAAAGTCGCTGTAATACTTATTTATAAACTTTGAAAATTATCCATCTTCTGAAGAACTTAGAAAACTACTTTAGGTCGTATAGACTGTTAATGTTATCTTATGTCATGTTGTGTTATGTTACAATTTTATAAGGCTCTTATTTATCAAAATTTTCAGGTAATAACAAAAATTATTCAATTTAGATGTTAGTTGTTGCCGTAGTCGTTCTTTTTTCAAATTTATGGCTTTCTATTATAAAATCACATAACGCTGTTTGCAAGTGGACTGCTCAAATGCACTCGGAGGGTTGCCATTTCCCGCCGAAGGACGACCGCTGTTAGGAAAAAACCTTTTTCCCATATTTTTTTCCGATGTTGTTTTCAAATTTCAAAAAAGCTAAAATTTTGTGTGTGTGGCATGCACAAACAAAGAGCGTTATAGGCATTAAATTGTTGTGAAGTTCCTTTTATAAAGGTTATAATGTTTTGCTTTAGAGACTTGCATTAATCACGGATTTGCACGTAAATATTGAGGGTCACGGTTACCGTCTACGCGCTCTAAATATTTTTCATCGGATAAAAAAAAATTACGTTTTGAACAATTATAATGCTCAACCTATGAAAGTCCTGATTTTGAGGGGGTATTCAAAATTCTATGTATGCATACTTTTTGTGCTCCACTAGATCTATAACTTTAGCAGTCACACAATGTTATAATCCTGACAAAATCCTTGACGGTGTTACCGGGAAGGAAACGGTGCATGACGGTAGCAAGTTAAGTTTGGGTTAAAGCCTCACACTGACGGGGCTAGGATTTCATGCTTCCTCCTCGTCGAATTAACGTGCGCAGTAAAAAGTTAACTATTCAAATCAACGAATAGTTTTATATCAACTTTTGTGAACATGTGTTTAAGCGTTTTTGTACAACCTCTATTGGTTACAATAATTTTAAGCTATAATAAAAGATTTTTTAGTAAGTTATTGGTTTTAAAAAAAAAAAATTTGTATAGGAGGGCCCCCCTAAATTTTGTTCTGGCTACGCCCATGTCTTCATTATTGGTTTGAATCGCTGTTGCAGTCTTTTGATTTACTCAAAATATTTGTCAGCACTGTTATCGATATTTTCGTAAGCTTCAAATCCCGCTGAACTTAGGAAGAAGTGTGATGAGGAGATGTGGTGATCTCCAAATTAGCAGCTGCCAATAACTTCTTCTAATTTCAATTGTTTGACTTTGGCTTTGAGCTCAATATAATTGGTGATTGAGCTCTGCTTTACCTCATCTGTGAATTTCTCTATAAAACTAACTGTTTGCTGCCTCTTTGCTGTGGCACATTCCTGTTACAAGGATGAGAAATGAGGAACGAAACAAAGCATACGTTTCATATAAGATTAATTTTTCACCATTTATGTGTACACAATATTTTTTGCTTTTCCATTCTGTACGTAGATATGAAGATTGTCTGGTTTGCCGACAGAGGAATACGCAACGTACAGGTGTCCATCTGAGAAGCAGTCCGCATCTAAATCTAAGCCACAATCTTCCAAAGATTGACCTTGAACTTTATTGTTTGTGACTGCGAACGCCAATCGAATTAGGAATTGTAAACTATCAAATTGAAATGGAGTATCGGTCGGAATCTTGAATCCTCGTAAGGTCGCGGAATTCATTTTCCTATTAATTTGAATAATATTTTGTCCTTTTTAATCAATTATATTCAAAAATTTTATGAGCTCGAGGCCGTTTTCAGTGAAAACTTATTGTGGAAAAGCAACAATAATTTGAAAAAATGGTAGAAGTGATAGCTATTTCGGAAATCACCACATTTCCTCATCAGACTTCTTTCAGTAGGATTCGAACCGACGATCCCACTGACTCAGCCAGTTGCCTATGCACCGTGCTAAGTACGCCTTGTAAATTATCGTTTGCTTTTTTCCACTATTTTCATTTTTGTTATGCCAACACAATCAAGCGCAGCTATTCCGCTGCAATTCACTTGATCATGTGGTTGTTGGTTTTGTTGGTTTGTGCTAATAATTCTATTTTTAGAATGCTTAACTTTTAGGTGTGCTCGTCCTTAAGTTATTTGTTTTTTGTTATTTTTTGGCCTTTTAACAATTATATTCAACAATTTTATAATGAGCTCGAGGCCATTTTTTAAATGAAAATTTATTGTGGAAAAGCAACAATAATTTTAAAAAATGGTAGAAGTGATAGCTATTTCGGAAATCACCACATTTCCTCATCAGACTTCTTTCAGTAGGATTCGAACCGACGATCACCACTGACTCAGCCAGTTGCCTACGTACTGTGCTAAGTTTGTCTTGTTAATTCTTGTTGCTTATTTTCCACTATTTCACTTTGCTAAGCCAACTACAATCAAGCGCAGCTGTTAGTATTTAAATAACACTTTTTGAAATGAAACTTATTTAGCGGCGGAAATAGTGCAACGGAAGCTGCACACGGAAATGGTTGGGACGGAATCAAGTGCTTCTTAAATGTATGCAAATGGTATTAAGTTAACAAAAAACTTGCTAATAAAAGGTTGAAGAATAAGCCTTAGATGAAGACCAATACAAGAATGAAAGTAAAGGTGAGTAAGTAAATAGATAAAAAAAAGGATATAGGCAAAGGTAAAAATAAAAACAAAAACAAAGACGCGTAAAGATAAAGGCAAAAATGAGGATCAAGGTAAGTTCAAACACAGGGAAAAGTAAAAACAAACACAAATTAAAAAAAAACATTAGGATGAGGATACCGATAAAAGTAAAGATGAAGAGAGAGGAAAAAATATTAAAATAAAGGTAATTATAGAAAAGGGATATAGATGGAGACACAGACTCAATCTGGGAGCTATGCATTTCCGGATTTGAGAGATTTTCGTGATTCTCAGAACTTATCGGTATAATAATCGATATTTTTTCGGTTTTGTTGTCGATATTTTTATCGACATTTTAATAGATTTTGTTATCGATATGTTTATTTATTTTGTTATCGATTTCTTATCAATATTTTTATCGATTCTAATTTCGAAATTTTTATCGATTTGGGAGAATGTGTAGATAAAGAAAAGGATAAAAGCGAAGATATAAAATATAAAAACAAACGTGTAAGCTAGATATGTAACGTAAAGTTGACTTTTCAAGTGTGGTCCAGACGCACCTACTTTTCGCTTTTGTTTGGTGACCCTTGGTTAAATTTTTTAGGAGCAGTTTTGCGGAATTATTTGGTCATAAAAATCACTAAATATAATTTTTTTTTGGTTCTGTAGCAAAGTTATTTGTCGTACAATTTCGGGGGGCCTTCAACAAATTATTAAAAATAATATGTGTTTTATGACAAAGATAGATATACCTTCCAGCTCAATAAAAATCAAAAACTTAATAGGCCAATATCTCGAAAAATGAATTAGACTACTTTAACCTAAGTCGAAATAGGCCCTTTTATTTTTAAACCAACATCTCATAGGGTTCCCAAACAATATTTTAACGTTTATCTAGCCATAGGTGTAGTTCGAGATGCCCTTTTAATAATATAAAACTTTTCAAGGTATACTGATTTTTTTTTTAATTCAAAGTCAAACCTTCTAAAGTTACTTAAGTTATTTTAATTGACTGGCCCCGATTTGTTTTTTTTTTTGGAAAATTTCAAAAGTCAAAAAATTACGTAGAGTGTTATTATAACCCGAAATCCTCGTAACAGCACTCTATCGATTAATCAATGCTATGAACACGAATTAAAGAGTTCACGTTACATTTTTGACATGTGAATTTCCATGGGTGTGATCAATCCTTTGCTGAAAGATATATTTATTTTACAAACGATTCAGACAATTTTACATACATCGTCACAAAAGGTGCATCCGTAACCTAAAATAATGCATTCCTCAACAAAAATTGTTGAACAAATTTCAAACTCGATTTAATCAATGATCTGTAGGTAGCTCAACGTCAACGTTCATTTGGATATACCCCTCATTAATTCGTTCCACGTCACCGAGCAATAGGCCAGTAAAGATGGTAGAGTGTTTCATATAAAGCGCAAGCGACGTAAGGGGTGTTGTAAATTGAGTGGTGACTGTGAGCGTCAACGGCATATACATACATACACACATACATATTTAGCGAGCAACACCCGCACTTTTTTCCGTTTTTTTTTTTATTTTTTTGTTTTGGTTTTAAATCAAAATCAGTAGCTCACGATTCTGTCAGCTGTTCCACCGTCAACCCCTTACCACGAATAGCGGATGATAAACTATTTGAGTGCCCCGCTGACGAATTGAGCGCAGTGAAATGTGCTTGTACTCGTCTGCTCGTACATGTTTAGAATAAAATTCCCAAATGGTTAAGTATAAATGTGCGGAAACTCGCATCCAGACAAATCAGTTGTACAAAAAGTTGACAGGTGTTAAGTACAGACGATAGAACAACAACCCCGGATTTCAAGTGTTATTAGGCCGCAAGAAATTGCTATCGAGTAAAAGGACTTCTTCGCTCGTAGCGCGTTCGGTACGACTCACGGAACGCAATGAAACGCTTAGTGATCTGTTTGCTGCTGTTGGGTGTAAGCCAAGTCACGCCCACTTTGCATACACTAAAGGCATTTAAGAAGCATTTGCTGTTTGGCGGAGGTGGCGGTGGTGGCTGCGGCGGCGGTTGTGGTGGCTATGGAGGTTATAGTGGTGGTGGTGGGTATGGCGGTGGTGGTAATGGCGGCTTCAGTCTTCCCAGTGTGCAAGTGGTCGCTGTAAAGCAGGTGCCCTCCTATAGCAGCGGTGGTTATGGTGGTTACGGCGGCGGTGGCTTTGGTGGCGGTGGCTTTGGTGGCGGTAGTGGTGGCTGTGGAGGTGGTGGTTGCGGCGGAGGCGGTGGCGGTTACAGGCCAAACTATGGCGGTGGAGGCGGCGGCGGTTACAGGCCAAACTATGGCGGTGGCGGCGGTAGTGGTGGCTTTGGCGGAAGTGGAGCATTCTCTTCCAGCAGCGCGAACAGTTTCAGCTCCGCTGGAAGCGGTGGTTTTGGTGGCAGTGGCGGCCATGGTGGCTATCCAGGCGCTGGTGGTGGTGGCAGTTGTAATACATGTGGTGGTGGCGGTGGCGGCGGCGGTTATGGCGGTGGTGGCGCATACGCCAGTGCGAAGTCATCGGCCAGCGCTCACGCTGGATCGTGGTGATGCATAAATGTGCCAGAAATTTTAAATGTACTGTGAAAAACTTGATATGAAAGTGTAAAAACACTTATTTTAAATCAAATAATTGTTGTAAGTGTGTGTGACATACATATTTTATACAAATAAAACGCTTTTTTATTTAAGAAGTAAAAAATTAACACAACCAGGGAGCTACTTCATTATCAGTAAATCTTTTGAGTACATGAAAATTTTGTATAGTTCACGAATAAAATAACTCGAATAAAAAATGGAATCTGCCGAATTCATGTCATTTAAAACAAAGTGATGATCATATGTAGTATTTTTTTAATAAACCAAGAAATGCGTGCTAAGAAAGGATTTTCAGGACTTCAAAACTTATTAAAAAGGCAAATTTCATTCGCAGTAGAAAAGTAGGTAAGTGAATAGTGAAATTGATGCGGCTTTACTTCACTGTCGTTATTTATACTATGGAGGGCCAACCCGTTCAATCTTTCCTGGATCATTCTGTTCCGAGCCAAGTTTTGATTTTACGCATTTGCGGCGGCTGGAAAGTATACATACAATTAGAGTGTTAATATTTACTCGGAAATATATCTTTATCACAATGTGGGGTCTCTATGGCAGATACCATTTGAGTACCGGATTAAATTTTCAGCTTCCATTGCTGCTGCCAAAACACTAATTTTAGCCCTAAATTTTTGTTGTTGTTCATTCCCTACCAAGCCCTCAACAGAACTTTCAATGATGCAATTAACCCTTTGTCACCATTTTCTAAACTAATCATCCAAAAAAATCCAAATAAATTTTTCACGATTATAGTAAAATTAAAAAAAAAACTTGCTTCTGCGGTCAAAAAATCGAATTTTCAGCTCAAATTACATTTTTAACTAGTTGCAATAATATGAAAAATAATGTAAATTGTGATACCTGTTGAAATATTTTCGCCACTGGAATTAAAATTTGCATGTTGTAGTTGATGTAAATGTATGTATATATTTTTAGTATTTTGTTTTAATATATTTTTTTATATTCAACAATTTTTATTGAACTTGAGGCCGTTTTTAATGAAAAACTTGTTGTGGAAAAGCAATAATAATTTGAAAAAATGGTAGAAGTGATAGCTATTTCGGAAATCACCACATTTCCTCATCAGACCTCCCACTGACTCAGCCAGTTGCCTACGCACTGTGCTAAGTTCGCCTTGTGAAGTTTAAATAGCACTGGAATAGCTGCGCTTAATTGTAGTTGGCTTAACAAATGAAATAGTGGAAAAAGCAACAAGAATTCACTAGGCGAACTTAACACAGTGCGTTGGCAACTGGCTGAGTCAGTGGGATCGTCGATTCGAATCCTACTGAAAGAAGTCTGACGAGGAAATGTGGTGATTTCCGAAATTGCTATTACTTCTACCATTTTTTTCACATTATTGTTGCTTTTCCACAATAAGTTTTATATTAAAAGCGGCCTCAAGCTCAATAAAAATTGTTGAATATAACTGTTATAAGGCCATATATTTTTTTATTTATTAGTTTTTTTATATTTTTCTTTTGTTTTTTTCTATGCTGAGTCTCTTATCAAACATATTTTCTGACATTATTTCAAACTAAAACATATATTAATGTGGTGTAGCGATAAAATCAAAAAAATCTATTTGTGGTAATAGATAAATAAACGTAACATTTTTTGCATACAAAATATGTACGTCCGTGATGTACAGCCTGCAGTCTTGCAAATTATTTCATCTCATATATCTACGTACCCATAGGGTATAACCAAGAAGACTGCGATGTTCTTCAACATTGCTCCTGGTACGTACTGAAGTAGTCGTAATTTATCTGGCAACCAATGGACCTTGTTGGACTCTGCGAAGCCACGCAGTGGCTGGCCAGCATACCTAACCTAACTTATGTATCTAAGTATTAGCGGTTTGCGCCGCCGAGTTACGAAAATATCGTGGCGACGGCGGCATTCGGTGCCTAAGGAATTGTGTACAAAATTTTCATGATGTATGCACTTTGAAATATGTACATCGTTTGAAGGAACTACTACCCTGAGAAATAACAATATTTTTCGAAATGAAAATTGCATTTTGAAAAGAGTTTTTTTACCTAATTTAGGCCACTGAATAGGAATGTGGTCTCCTTTATTTTTCCAAAAAAGCGTAACTCAGAAAAACATAGGAAACACGTTTTTTGATCGAAAGCGTTTATTACAGTTAAATAGGGCCGAGCACTGGTAATCTGAGGATTTTTTCCGCAGTAGTAAATTTTTTTTTCAATACCACAACAACAAGAAAGTTATCATGCTTCAAAAACTTAAACGCTAATATCTCAGAAGCACTTTTAACAGAAGTTCCCCTATTGCAACTACCTCCTCAATTGTTGGAGATAAAACAAAATCGAATTGATTTTCTTGTGTTGTTTTCGTTAGATTTTTAATAAAAAGCAAAACTTTTTTTTGCTAATTTGTAAATTCGTAAGTTATTTTATTCGAGCGTCCCACATACCTACGTATACAAGTACTAGGTGGCTGTGTGAAAATTATGGACTTAGCATTCATAAGTGGTGGTCAAACCCCAGGAAGGTTTTTTGCTCCATCGCATCGCAATGCTTTCCTCCTTTTTAATACAAGTTAGTATTATTTTTCATTACATTCTATTATCCTTAGAAAATGTTGTCGCTTAAAATTGTAGTGGAAATTTTAACCATCTATAAGCCTTTTTAAACAGTGGGTCAAATAGGCCGGTTCCGGTGGGAGTTGATGGGCGTCACCACTGCCGCCTTTTTGATACTGACCACGCCGCCGCGCAAAGCCTATCGGCGTACAATTCTACTACATATCGGTGTGCCCATAAAGATTTAAATCAAAAATGCAACTAAATGAATTCAAGCGGCCATACATCCAGTTGGTAAAACGGCGGAAAGAAGAACTGAAAAATATATATATATACAAAATTTAATTATATGTATATGTATTACTAGTAAAAATATTGTATGGTAGAAAAGTCTGTCACGTCCGTTATGTCTACGGTGACCATATTAACCAACGTAAAATAATCCACCGAAAGCTTAATTTTTTAACCAATTTTTACTAAAAAGCAAACAAAAAACTATTTAGTTTGGTGAACATTTTTTATAACATTTTATAAATTTTTTTTTTGTATTTTTTTTGGTTTTCAACTAGTTTTTGTTATGTAACATTTATTAACTGGAACAGGAGAGTACATTTTCTTCAAAATTGTTCCTTTTTCTGCATTTTGCACAAAAAATTTAATATAATCAAATAAAAATTCAGAAATCAGGCTTAACTGGTCTCTTGCAAATATTGTAAGCTTTCATAAAAAAAAAATAAAAATTAACCAAATGAAATGAAAAATGAAGGATCCAGTGAATTACAAACACTAAATGCCAGTTTTGAACCACTAAGCAGCAGGAGGTTTATTGTTCTCTTTCAGTGGAACTGGAAACTCAGCGTGCAACACCATCCTGGGCACAACTTTCCCTGGGCTTTATAGATTTTACAAAGATAACCGATTAAATAGAAACCCTTAAGTGAGGTGCGAAACAAACTGGGGATAGTTTTCATTATATTTTATAAGGGACATTTTTATTTTTTATATTCTCCGTTAAAAAAATACCTCTGAAAAATGCAGAGCCGATTTAAACGACAGTTTAAGAAATAAAGGATAAAAGGCGTCTTTCATTTTGAAAAAAATTATAAAGGACAGAGGGTTAAAATAAAGGACTGTCCTTTAAAATAAAGGACGGATGGTCACCGTAGTTATGTCACATCCGCTATCACATTTTAATTCAAAATTAAACCAACAACGAATTGCTTCTGATTAAATATGAATTACTTGTAATGGTCCGTAACTTGACTTTACGTAAAGAATCTTTAAGAAAGAAAAACCTCACAGGATTTGCATAGTTTTGCTTATTTTTACTTGTACTGAACCCACTCACATCCGTTATGACCTCCTTTTCCTCGATTTTCTCGACACCAGTGTTCCGTGCGCACATAATTGTTTTGTCAACCAAAGGACGGTATAAAAGCAACACAACGGCAAATTTTTTGATAAGTGACTTCCGTATGATTTATTTAACTCTAAAGTCGTACGAATGTCACTTGCGACATCATGGAAAAACACATATGTACTTATTTTTTACAACACCATAGCAGTCCTGAAGTGAAAACCCAAACCAGGCAGTAATAATATTAGTTCATTAAAACGCAATTAATTGCTTTTCTTACAAATGTAGGCTGTGTCGTCGCGTGAAGACTACCGTTCTGAGATAGCAGGTTAAGGTTTTTCATATTATATCAATTGTATTTAAAATAATTATGTATTTCAATTTAAATATAAATTACAAGTTGGAAATTAGATTTGAGAAAAAATATATGTATCTTTGTAGAGAAATGCTTGTACCACATGGAGATCTAACAGTATCTTTAAAGTTTAGTTGGTGAAGGAAGTTAGGCTAATAAGTCTGTATGGTTTAGCTAAGTCAAAGTGCCTATGCCCGATTTAGGAATAAATAACGCGGACTCCTTCCTCCATGAATAAGGTATGTATTCCCAGCAATAACTAGCCACAAATGTACAGATCAGGGGATCACTGATTTGTGAAACGGATGAATACCATTGTCTATCGAATCCAGACTGTTGGGAGACCGAGAAAAAAAATAAAGGTTGTCTACTTACAGCGTTTGGAACGGCAAGTGTGTCTGATCGGGATGATCAGACTTAGGTGGAGGGAAGTGTGGCGAATACTGCGGCAACGCGAAGCGAACAACAAAAAAGTAAGTGCGCCTGGGCCACACTGTAGAAGTGAAACTTACGTTACTTATCTATCTATACATTCACATATCTGCTTTTGCTTAAGGTTATATTTTTTTCGCTTTTTATCTATCAGTGTACATAGATCCCTACTAGAGATGGGCACGGGCCGGGCTTTTGGCAGGGGCCCGACAGGCCCCTGCGTAAGCCCGCGGGTACGGGCCGGAATATTTTCTGTCAGCACG